CTAAACTTTAAAATATTTTGTAGTTAAGTAAATATTGACAAAAAAAAATCATCAATTAAGTTGAACTATCGGAATATAAAAATAATTTATGATATCATTGACCATATTAACCCGTTGTATTTAAAGATATCACTGACCATATTTCTATGAATTAAGGTTTACAAAATATTTTTTTTTCAAAATAACAATTTGTTTAATTTGAATTTTACTTTTTCATCCAGCCGTCATTTTCCACAGAAAATAAAAAATAAAAATAGTATTTTGGAAAATTATAGACGTGAAAATCAAATAAAAAATAAGTTAATAGTAATTGATTAATTTAATATTTTTCAAAATTGTTTGATTAGGTTATAACCAAATTTGATTGAACTTATCAAATGAAATCAGATTTTATACCTAAAATAGTATACTTTCTGTTTGATTTCCCACAACAACAAAAAAGATCGTGTTTAAGGATCGTGCTTATCTCCTTAAACCCGATCTAACCTATTTTAGATTTTAAATATATAGTATATGAGATCTACATGAAACTTAAAGCAAACAATAGTTAGGAATATTAAATAAATTTTAAGAAATACAAGATTATCTCATATAGTTAGATAATCGTTTGATTTTATTCTAAACCAAAATGATTAGGCTTATCATATTATCATTTTAAGTTTTGCTTAATTCGCTTTAGTTTTTGAATTTTTTAGTTATCCAATGATAACAAATTTTATGTTTGGATATAAGAATTTTTGGTTTTGTTGGATTTTTGGTTTGGTTTGGTTAAGTTAATTTTGAAAATGTAGTATGGTTAATTGTTAGTGGAATAGTGGGCATATTAAAATAATATTTAAAATAAAATAATTAAAACTTTGATTTGATGGTTAGTTAAAAAAATATGAGTGGGTGAATAGTGAACTAAGGTTGATTGGTATGTATGAATGAATAGTGAACTAAGGTTGATTGGTATGTATGAATGATTGACTGATATTAGAAATTTCTTTTGAGAAATCTTGTATACAAACATCAAAAAAAAAAAAAAGCTGGTATAGTGTAGATTCAAAAAATTAAAAAAAAAATGATATATAATCTAAACTCAAATTCATTTAAATGTTGTATATGGTATTAATTTTAATTTATTGTGATGTAAAATCGTATCACGCATGCCTTATTGGTAGTCTTTCTTTTATTTTTTTAAGTATTAATGATATCAGCATCAGTTGTGATGTTATTGCCTTGCAGATTTGTATATCAAAGAGGATTTGTAAACACTAATTCTAATTTTATATAGAAACATGATTTGTTAATCAAATCAGATTTGTAAATCTTATTTCAAATTATTGAAAATTTATTAGCTGTATAGTCGATTTATAATTATATCTGCCTAAATTATGATTCTATTTCCAAACATGATTTGCAAATCAAATCGAATTTGTAAATCTTAATCATTATTTTTGTACATACATGATTTGTAAACCAAATCGAATTTGTAAATCTTATCTTATTATGAATCATTGAAAATTGATCACATGAAGTATAAAAATAAAAAAATTGGTAAAAATTAAAAAGATTTTTGGATAAATAGGAAAATCATAAAAGAATAACAAAACTGAATAGATTTTTATTTGAAGTTTAATAAACAAAACTTGATTTGAAAATGTTATAGGAAGCCATTGGATATCCTTTTTTTTTTATTTTATTTTTTATTAGTTGTAATTTATCTCAATGATATGTGAATTGAAAAAAAAAAAATCACCTATGGTTGGATGTATGTCGTGATTGTATATATTATGGTTGGGTGTAAACAAAATATTTCATTTAATTTCCATTATTAATAATTCAAATTGTATGATGTTTTTCATTATTCTCAACTTTTAATATCAATTGCCCATTAAGATCACATCATAAACATGTAAATGATATAAAGTAATAATTTTTTTAAAATCATTTGGCAGATAATATTCCAAATTCGACAATTCTATCGCGCCCCTAAAAATCAGAGGATATCACTTGAAAATTTGTTTATCAATTAACAAATAACAATATCCTTTTAATAATTAACAATATCTAATTTTTTTACCAAAATATTATCCGATTATTTATCATATCACATATAAATTAACAATATCCGATTTTTTTTTTTTTTTTTTTTTTTGTGAAATCTTATCATCTTAGTTATCAATATCCAGTATCTAATTTAAACAAATTGCATGGACGAATTTCAAGCAAATTGCATGGGTGAATTATTTTAAACAATTTGCATGAGGGAAAAAAAAAACCAAAAATAAAAAATAATAAAAAATAAAAATTGAAAATGGTAAAAAACAAAATACAAAAGCAGGAAAATGACTTTAAAAAAGCAGGAAAATGAACGATTTATTTTAAATTTTTTGAATAGTTTTTCTTAACTTATTATATCATAATAGATTAGAGCACATCAAACCCAATTACAAAGTAAGAAACAAATCGGATTAATCATAACTTAAAAACATAACATGATCGACACATTGAACTTAATAACAAATATAAAATCAATGATGTGCACATCAAATGTTATAACTATTATGATTATTTATTTATTTTATTTTTTTTGTGAAGTTTTTGAATTAACAATAATATATGCCTAAATGATATCCACAAAAAAACTTTTCGTACAATTAAACACAGTATATTAACAGAAAAAGTGAAAACAAAATGAAACCATTTTTTGAAATATAGATCCCAACATATTTTTTATTCTCAGAATACAATCGTGCAAATATATTTGTTGCGATTTTGATGTACAAAGAATAAGTATTGGATTGATTAAATTTAGATCATAATGATAAGCACATTTTTTTTAGGCTTGCGCAAAACGAAAAATGATTTTCAATTAGAAAATGATTCCAATATTATAAGGATTCTTAGAATCTCATTTTTGTTAAATAAATAAACTTTTGTTTATCCCAAATTTTATTAAAAAAAAAACAATCTTCCAAACATGAATGATATTGGT